AGAAAAGAAAGAAAAGCATGGAAAGTGGAGAGTAGGGCTGGGTTCGGTTTGAAACGGTTCGGTTTTTTGCCAAAACCGAAACTGAACCGAAATTTCGGTTCGGTTCGGTTCAATTTTTTTTCGGTTTTTTTCGGTTCGGTTTTAGTCCGGTTCGGTTTTTTTTTTTTAATAAAATGTAAACTTCCATTAAACTTACATACATATAAAAGCCCACAACTAAACACAAACAAAAAAATGGGCCAGAACAACAACCCAACCGAAGGGTTGAGCCCGAAAAAGAAAGAAAAAACGGAAAACCCTAGCTGCTAAGTTCCCTTGCCGCCGTCGAAGCAAGCTTCGGCGACCATGTACCAGCAATCCAACAAACACCAGAGGTGAAGACCATGAATCGCAATATCCAATCATGATTTCCTGCTTTTAACAACCCCTGAGCACAAACAAACATAATTTTCCTTCAAATGATGAATTAACAATCACAATTCAAAGAGAAAAATAACCTTTTTCGTCATTGATTTATGAATTACTTGCATAATTCACATAGCAATATCATTTCTAAACAAAATAAAAAACTGAAGAACAAACAAGTAAAATTGATTAACATTTAGACCTAAAACTACTAGAACCGCTCAATTCCATTGGCGTAAAAGCACAACAACTGAAAATCTAGTTCTCGTCAATTTTCTTAGGCACCAAACTGAAAAAACTATAATAAAAATGGAAATATGAATAACCTAATAACGAAATCCATCAGATCTAAACAGGCATGCAGAGATCGAATCCAAAAACCAAATGCACAAATCCATCAGTATTTGGATTTCTTTTTTTCTTTGTTGGGGGTTAGAGAGAGAGAGAGAGAGGGAGGGAGAGTACAGTGGGTGTAACTATCCATCAGTATTCGAATCCATCAGTAATCCAAATAACAATCGAAACAAATATCCAAATACACAAATCCAAAACCGAAACCGAAAACCAAAAAAAACCGAAAAATCATGAAATAATTCAACAAATTAACTGATGCAGATCAAAAAAAAAAAAGCAAATGGGTTCGTCTAAATGCCATAATCGGACTCCAATATCACATGCCCAGTGCCCATATTCAAATTCATAGTCAAGTCCACAATAGATCTAGAAATTCCAAAACATATTCAGAGAAAAATACAAACTTTTCCACCTTAAATTACATAAATTTCAAATGGGTAACCATAAAATTAAAAACCCATAAACTGAAAAATAGATAAAACCCACAACCTTTGCTGCAGCGATATCGCAGTGATCGTCGCAAGCTCTTACAATTCCTCTTTTCGTCGGGTCTCGAAAGGGGCGAGGGAAAATCATTGTTTGGAGAAAAAAAAAACCACGAGGAAGACAAGAGAAGACTAGAGAGAGTGATTTGGAGGAAGAGAAGAAGGAGAGGGAGAGAGAGAGAGACTGAGGAAGCAGAAAGGAAGTCGCGGCCGGGAGAGAGAGACTTTGAAATCTGAAAATGAAATGGGAATGGGACAGAGACGGCTAGGGTTTTAAGTTTTTTACAAAGCATTCAATATAAGAAACCTATAAATAATATACTGGTACAACTATAACAATAGAAAGTCTACAGTCAAGTTGGCTGACAGCATCTAAACCTAACCTACAGGTCAGGGGTTCGAACCTTGAAGCTAACATATTTTTTTGTATTTATATATATATATTTTTTTTTCGGTTCGGTTCGGTCCGGTTCAGTTTTTTTCGGCCTCGGTTCGGTTTGGTTTTCGATTTTTTTCGGTTTTCGGTTATTTGAACCCACCCCTAGTGGAGAGGGAATGAAGACACGGAATGGTGGAGTAGAAAGAAAAACAAAAGAAAAGAGTGTGCAGAGAAAAGGGAAGGCAAAGCATGGAAAATAAATAAAATAAGAAAGATAGAAGCACAAAGGCACGGGCAGAAGATGGGAGGAACAGAGAAAAAAAATAAAATAAAAGAAAGAGAAGTGGACGGACAGCGCGGAGAGGAATAGAACTGCAAATAAAAGGAAGTCAGGAGTGCAGTGCGAAAAAGGGGGAGAATAAGAAGCAGAGAGAAAGGAGGGCAGCGCACAGAAACGGAAAAGAAAAGAAAAACCGAAAAATAAAGAGCAGAGCACACGGGCGTAGGGGGAGAGAGAGAGGCAGACACTGCAAAGAAAAAGAGGGAAGTCAGGAGCTAGGCAGAGACTGACGGCAGCAGAAGCACAGAAGCAGAAGGAACCAAGAATAAAAAACGGGTGTTTTTCTTTCTTGTTATTTTATTTTTATGGATAATTTCTTATGTATGAACATAATTATGTGTAACTAATTTATTATGCTAAAGCGAGGCCATGAGCCGCAACATGAATACGTAGTTTTATTTTTCAATTGCTTAAGTGTTGTTACATGTTTGCTTTGATATTTTCAATCACTGAATTAAACTATCTAGGTACCTTGATGCTTGAACACCATTAGGATGCTTAGAAAAGTTATCGGATGCAATTTTGAACGAATGTCACGTTAAAATTGGTTGTGCTTCTTGTGATTGAGAATTATACTCTCCTAAGGTAAATATCATGCTCTTAGGGATTATATGGTTTAACAAAAGGATTTTCACCAAGATTAATGAATCACTCATGTTTATATTTAATCCAAATGTCATGGATAAGTTGCATGTAGTGGTATGCGTTTTAGCTTGAATGTCACAAGTAAAATATACACAAGGAAAATCCAACCTTCAAAGCATGTGTGTTTTCAATTATTTAAGCAATTGGAATAGCTACGTAGGAATGTTGTTGGTAAAGGTTGAACTCTAGCATATTGTCAATTTATTTTTCTTCAGTCATTTATTTTATCTTGAATTTCCTTATTTACTTGTTTTGTTTAAGTTGAATCATTATTCTTATAAATCAATTCCCATTTTGGATATTTGTTTAAGTCACATCCAGTAATATTTAGTTTCGTCAAATTACTGTAATTCTTAGAATTAAATAAGTTAAATACACAAAAACTCGTAAATTGTTTATATCAGTCCCTGAGGAGATCGACCTTGCTTGAGTCATTCTATACTACAAACACTTGTTCTCTTGCAAGAATTTTCTATGGTTTAATCCTTTGTTTTACAAGTGGTAAAATCGCTATCAGTAGCAAGCATTATTAATTATCAAATATTTTTTAAGCATGTGAAAGTGACTAATCCTTCTCTCTCCAAATTTTCAATTTTTGTCCTCCCTGGACGTTTGAAACTTTGTGCATATACCTCCCCCTAATAATAAGGACTAAACTCTGATCTAGTCTCAGGTGCAACCGTAATTAAGATTCTTTTTCTGATATATGATCTAAAGACATAGGGATATGGAGTTGATTGGGTTCATTCAGGTTTTCAGCATCATCGTTATCGTGATCGTAACTAGGATGGACAACGGTTATGGCAGGCGGATACTTGTGACTATTTACCCATTACTGTTTATATTCATACCTCCACAACCGTTTACCTATTGGGTAATTGCATAAACAGTTATACCCATACCTATAACCGTTTATAAATGGTTAACCATACCCATAATCACGATTACCCAAACTCATGGTATCTTGCCAATCCCTATGAATCGGACTCTGTGGTACGTGTGCCGCAGATCATTAACATTTTCTTCTTCGTCTTCTGCGGCTTATTCTGCTGGTTTCTAATTGGTTAGTTTGGGTGGCAAGCTGGTAAATTTTGATCAGCTGATGGATACAAACCGCATGACTGACTATTTACAAGCACCTCACGTGGAAATCTCATGCTAAACCTATACTTTCCTATATACATATATCTATAAGAAACGCAAAAAATCTTTTTAGTAATCATAGTAAATACATTTTGAAGTACGTGTCATCACCGCTATATTGATACGGAAGTTACTCTCATATGAATAACATGATTAGTTACCTCCACACAAGTTTTTCTTGCTTGCTTTCACACTAAGCTTTGGGCTCTCTTATGACCTTCCGATAGTCACAGAAAGATAGATTTCAAATCTTAGGCAATCTCCAATAGTGAAAGACATGATTTTTTTTAGTTCCAAACTGACTTGATTTTAGTTTTTAGGAATTATAAAAAGGTACTTGATTGAAAGTGCTTGGAAATTTCTTGAAAGAAATTGGTCACCAACTGGAAATGTTAAAAAATTTGTACATAAAATGTGTGAATACGTCAAGAGAAATAGCTTGCTTTAAAACAGTGTATGTGATCCGCTTTAAAAATTCATGTATACTTTTCATTGTTGTAACCAAGGAAGAAAATATCGGTAATATCGAAAATATCGGTAGTCCGAAAACACGGAAATATCGATGGAAATATCGGGATAATATCGATATCGATAAAAATTACATGGAAACCACAGAAATTGTAAGAAAAACTTGGAAATTTTTATTGAAACTTTGCAGGATGTTTATTTAGTCAATTATCTATTAGTTTATCACAAAAAATTGGAAGGAAATGCATTGCATTATGGATTTAACATTATCAAGTTGATTATATAGCGAGCTGACAAACATTGTGAGTGTAGAAAATATGTAGTAATTAATGAAAGAAGTTTAAACACACCATAATCATTTATATATAATGAATTAGTACAATATTTTACACTTTATACATTGTATTTTTGGTTCTTCTCTGACAGAATTTGGTCTTCACGTGGAGAAGAAGATAAAGTAAGCAGATTTTTTGGTTCTTCTCTGACAGAATATTTGGTTCTTCTGAGCAAAGTCACTTCTAATTCTTTCATACAAAACCGTGTGCCACACACACACATCCTCAAAGTTTTTTTCTTTTTCTCTCAGATAACCCACACACACACACATAACCATACACACACACACACACACACACACAAAACCATGGTTTTATACAAAACCATGTGCCAAAACTCTCTCGGATAACACACACACACATAACCATACACACACACACACACAAAACCATGTGTCAAACCGTGTGCCACAAACACACACACACACACACACCCTCAATGTATTTTTTTTCTTTCTCTCGGATAACATACACACACTTCTCCCTCATTCCACACACACACACGCACACACCCTCCGTCTACAGAGATCGGAGATCTCTCTTCTCCCAAACACACACACACACACAAAGAGATCGGAGATCTATCTTCTCCATTCTCCGATCTCTCTTCTCCCTTCTCCGATCTCTCTTCTCCCAAACACCCACATACAAAGAGAGATATCCGATCTCTCTTCTCCCAAACACACACACACACACACACATATCTCTCGATCTCTCTTCTCCCTTCGCCGTTGATCGTGGCTCTGGCGAAGTCGGAGTTGGCTCAGTCGTTTCTGGCGGTGCGCCGCTGAGCAAGGATCACGTTCAATCATCTGGTTCGTCTTCGTCTTCGTCAGGTGAGATTCCATTGAAACCCTAAACCGACTTCACATATGTTGAATCGTTTATGCATGCGTGAAATCTGAAGTTTATATGTGAAATTGATGTTAAAATTCGTGTTTTTGCAAGGTTTTTGGGACGAAATCGGCCCGGGAATAGGCACACCGTCTCCGGCGTTCTTCTCCGACGTCGCCTCGGAGTCCGATTGCACCAAACTCAAAAAAATTCGCCGATATTTCGATAATATCGCGATATTTGGCCGAAAACCATTCGGATACCACTTAGAATATCCATCCCCCGAAAAACCGATAATATCGGCGATATTTCGCCGATATTATCGGCATTTTCTTCCATGGTTGTAACTTGTATAGAGTGGAAGGAGCCGGCTGACTCTGTCCTCCACTTGCACTGGGAAACTTCCTTGCATCAGGAGGAGCTTCTTAGTTTCACCTTTCTTTCTTTAAGTCCTCAACTAGAGAGATAATAACCTTTTCTTCCGTTTGAACGCACATGGTTTCTGCAAGGAAAGTGCTTGAGCAATTTGTCTTTATATTTTTTATGTTTTTTTTTTTGTCTAATCTCTAGTGATTTTTTTCTCGATCGTCGTTTGTGCGTATTTGTATTTTAGAGAACTTTAATGAAAAGTTCACAGTACTGTTCACTTTAACGAAAAACCACATTTTTACACTAAAAAGTTAATCCTGATATTATTCACTTTACTCTTTATTTTGTCCTTATCGTTAAAATTTAAAGTTTTCAAACTCTTTTCATTAATTTTCCAATATATGAGAATTTTAATGAAAAACTCTTACCCAATGTATTTGGTTCAATTTTTCTTTAATTAAAGCATATTTTAAAGAAAATTTTAAAGTAAGTAGCATTATTAACTATCAAATATTTTTTAAGTATGTGAAAGTGACTAATCCTTGTCTCTCCAAATTTTCAATTTTTGTCCTCCCTGAACGTTTGAAACTTTTTGTGCGTATACACATCCCTAGGACCATCTTCAATCTTTGGGTTAAAAACTAAAATTTTTAGCTCAAAAAATTTAAGTTTTAACATAGAAACAACTTTTTTACTCCAACCCTTATGGATTAAAATTTTAGCCCTATATTAGTAAAGAATGAATTTAGGCTAATTTTTTTCTTAAAGTAATTTTTTTAAAAGAAAAAATTATGTAGACTATCCTAATTTAACTTTATGAACATTTTAACCTAAAAATATTTAGATTCCGACAAATATTGAAAAAATCACTTCCAACACTATGAAACTCGTGAAACACTATGAAAAAAATATGAAACACATAAAAGAATTTCTTTTTAATTTACTTTAGCCGTTGGATTTAAATTTGGACCGTTAGATTTTTTTTTGCCGTTGGATTTCATCAAACTAGATCTTTACCGTTAGATTCAATGAATTTATAAAATAAACTAAAAAAAAAATATTTGTCCAAAAGGTTAGCAAGTATTGAGTTTTAACTCATATTTGCCCAAAAGGTTGAAGCAAGTTGGATTAAGTTTACAACCTAAAATTAAGTTTTACTTCAAAAGTTGGAGTAGGTATAATAAGGACTCAAATCTAGTCTCAGGTGCAACTGTAGTTAAAGGGGTGTGCTATCCACACACCTCTTTTTACTTCTCACACCCTTTGTTAATTTATGTCCGTTGATTTTCTTCAATTCATCCAATCCGATGACCGAAAATTAAAAATGTATGTAAGAAGTAAAAAGAGGTGTGTGAATATCACACCTCTTGTTAAAATCTAGTCTAAGAGAGAGCGATGGAGTTGATTAGGTTCATTTAAGTTTTCAACATCGACGTCATCGCCATCGGGACTCTGGTGTACATGTGCTGGGATCATTAACATTTTCTTCTTCGTCTTCTGCGGCTGATACTGCTGGTTTCTAATTGGTTGGTTTGGGTGGCAAGCTGGTACATTTTGATCAGCTGATAGATACAAACCGCATGACTAACTATTTACAAGCATCTCACGTGGAAATCTCATGCTAAACCTATACTTTCCTATATACATATATCTATAATAAGAAAACAAAAAATCTTTTTAATAATTATAGTAAATACATTTTCAAAGTACGTGTCATCACAGCTACATTGGAATTTGGGACCCCCAATTCTCAGGTTTAAATTCTATGTAAATATGTGTCATTTTCCAATTTTTATGATTGAGAGTTTAAAATTAACAAATTTCATTCTCAATTTCATTGTTCTTTTAGGTTAACCAAACAGAAAATTCACAAATTCTAGAAAATAAAATCCCTTCATTTCAATTTCCATCATTTTAAAATTTCTTAGTAATCTTAAATTTATTCATTCAAATATAGTATTAAGGAAAGCATCTTTAATTATTTTTATTTTACCTTTTCTGTTTAGTTTAGTTTAGTTTAGGTTAACTTTTGTTTTTTGTTTTTTTTTTTTTGGTTTTATTAATTTTAGTTTCAAATCTTTCTAAATTTTGTTTTTCATTTTATAATCTACATGGCACATATATATTGTGGGACCCACGACGTCCATGTAAGCAAATAATAGAGAAATTGATAGATTTTTTAAAAGATGTATGAAATTGAAACAAAATAATAGCTAATGTATGAGATTGAAATATTTTAAAGATGTTGTATGAAGTTTTAATTGCACCCAAACTTGAGGTGGTAAAATACAATTTACCTTTTTTTAAATGTTAGATAAGATGTTGACAGGGTTCGAACCTATAACGTGATGCAAAAGTAATAATCTTCTTCACCATTACGGTAACGAACCACTTGCTACGTTTCCCTTCCATGTTAGCCGGAGTAAAAAAGTTTTTTATTTTTCCTCTTCTCGGTGATGGATGATTAACAATGTTTAGTTCCTGACAAGAGTTTTGTCTTAACTGTTTTAAAGCGGATCACATACACTGTTTTAAAGCAAGCTATTTCTCTTGACGTATTTACACGTTTTATGCACAAATTTTTTAACATTTTCAGTTAGTGACCAATTTCTTTCAAGGAATTTCCAAGCACTTTCAATCAAGTACCTTTTTATAATTCCTAAAAACTAAAATCAAGTCAGTTTCACACTAAAAAAATCATGTCCTTCACTATTGGAGATTGCCTAAGATTTGAAATCTATATTTCCGGGGCTATCGGAAGGTCATAAGAGAGCCCAAAGCTTAGCGTGAAAGCAAGCAAGAAAAACTTGTGTGAAGGCAACTAATCATGTTATTCATATGAGAGTAACTTCCGTACCAATATAGCGGTGATGACACGTACTTCAAAATGTATTTACTATGATTACTAAAAAGATTTTTTGCGTTTCTTATAGATATATGTATATAGGAAAGTATAGGTTTAGCATGAGATTTCCACATTAGGTGCTTGTAAATAGTCAGTCATGCGGTTTGTATCTATCAGCTGATCAAAATTTACCAGCTTGCCACCCAAACCAACCAATTAGAAACCAGCAGAGTAAGCCGCAGAAGACGAAGAAGAAAATGTTAATGATCTGCGGCACACGTACCACAGAGTCCGATTCATAGGGATTGGCAAGATACCATGAGTTTGGGTAATCGTGATTATGAGTATGGTTCATCGTTTATAAACGGTTATGGGTATGGGTATAACCGTTTATACAATTACTCAACGGGTAAACGGTTATGGAGGTATGAATATAAACAGTAATGGATAAATAGTTAGAGGTACCCGCTCGCCATAACCGTTGTCCATCCCTAATTAATATCACGATGACGATGATGTTGAAAACTTGAATGAACCCAATCAACTCCATATCTCTATGTCTTTAGATCAGATAGCAGAAAAAGAATCTTAACTACAGTTGCACCTGAGACTAGATCAGAGTTTAGTCCTTATTATTAGGGGGAGGTATATGCACAAAAAAATTGAAAATTTGGAGAGACAAGGATTAGTCACTTTCACATGCTTAAAAAATATTTGATAATTAATAATGCTTACTACTTTAAAATTTTCTTTTAAATATGCTTAATTAAAAGAAAAATTTGTCCACGTCAATTTTTGTAAGGCATCTTTCAATAAAATATACTCACAAACGACGACCCAAAAAAATCACTAGAGATTAGACCAAAAAAAAAACATAAAAAATATAAAGACGAAATTGCTCAAGCACTTTCCTATGAAGTCCGATTCATAGGGATTAGCAAGATATCATGAGTTTGGGTAATCGTGATTATGAGTATGGTTAACCGTTTATAAACGGTTATAGGTATGAGTATAACCGTTTATGCAATCAGTGGCGAAGCCAGGAATTGACGAGGGGGGGAGGGGCGAAGTTAAAAGAGTGCAAGGTTCAAAAGAATAGCAACAACCAAATTATTTATAGTAGTGTATTCCATAATTTATCAATACAAATAAATTACAATTGTTGCCGACGATGTTTCATATCATGAAAACGTCGCATAATAGGTTCATTATTAATAAAAGCAAATACATATGTCTCAATGTAAACAAGCATGTTATCACTCAATCATTGATCTCCCATTTTGTTATGTAATGTTGTTTTCACAATTTTTGCTTTGTCAAAAGATGCAAAATTATTCACCGGACTCAAACATGCCATATAAAGAAGCAACTCGATGTTTACCTTATCGAAGCGATCATTCAATTCCTTTAATTGCGTATCAAGGACTTGAAAATAGAGGTCCACACTATAGTAATGGAAGTTTGTGAGTCTTGGAGCTTTACGCCTTGATTTTTCAGGTATGAAATGCAAATCCTTCATGTTAGGAACGACAATATCATGCTCTTCACAAAACTTTTGTACATCATCAAGCAAGTCCCCAAAATCATCATCTCTCAAGGATTGTACTCTTTGCTTGCATATTTCCACTAACGTCATCACATTCACAATATTTTGATCTTTCTTTTGTAGTGTTTGTGATAACTCATTTGTAATTCTCAATATGAGTCTCATAAAAAAAGGTGAAACACAAAATCAAAATGGGTTTGAAACTTTGATGGTTAGAAGCTGGCGGCTGGAGCTGGAGAGTGGCTAACCTGTAGCCAAACAATGTTTGCTGATTGGTTGGTTCCGTTCCATTTTTTGCTTCAAAATGGGGAGCAACAGCTTCATTTTGCTGCTCTGATTGGAGGATGAAAATTGAAAAGGGCAAAATGACAGGAAGAGATATTGAATGAATGGGGGACACGCGGTCCCCCCATATAATTTTTTTTTCCTTCCAACTTCATCAAAATGGCCCGTTTCATAATTTCTTCCTTCCAACTATCAAAACGGCCCGTTTTGGGCATGTTGCTTTTAAAAAAAAATTGAAGTTTTTCCTTCCAACTTATCAAAACGGCCCGTTTTGGCCTGGTTGCTTTTAAAAAAAAGAAGTTGGTCTACGCGCGGACAGACCACCAAAGAGGAAGAGCAGCAGCAGCAGAACCAGTACGTTTTCTGGCAGGGGAGGGGCAAAATCAGCCCTCCAGTCTTGTTTTTCCGGCGAAGGGAGTGGCAGGGGAGGGGTAAAAGCTGCCTCAGTTTCTTCTGACCATATGAACCCCTCACTTCCAGTGAGTTTGTACAAGGGCTGGTAGATTTTGCCATATCCAAGTACAAATTTTATGTAGTAACCTGTTAACCCCAAAAATCCCCTTAACTCCTTCACATTCTTAGGAGCAGGCCACTCCAATATAGCTTGGATTTTTGCATGATCCGCAGAGACTCCCTCACAGGATACTATATGGCCAAGGTATTCCACTTGGTGCTGCCCAAAAGAACATTTTTGTTTCTTGACAAACAGTTGATGTTGTTGCAATAATTCTAGAGTTTTTCCCAAATGCACCAGGTGTTCCTCCCACGACTTACTGTATATCAATATGTCATCAAAGAACACAAGGATAAACTTTCGTAAGTAAGGTTTAAAAATGTCATTCATGAGGCTTTGAAATGTTGCAGGGGCATTAGTGAGGCCAAATGGCATAACTAGGAACTCATAATGGCCTTCATGAGTTCGAAAAGTTGTTTTTTCAATGTCATCCTTATGCATTCGAATTTGGTGATAGTCGGACCTCAGATCAAGTTTTGAGAAATAGTGAGCTCCATATAATTCATCCAAAGATCATCAATCAGTGGAATAGGATAGTTATCCTTGATTGTGAGTCTGTTTAATTCCCTGTAGTCCATGCATAACCTCAATGTCCCTTCCTTTTTCTTCACCAACAGCACAGGGAATGAGAATGGACTGTGACTAGGCCTAATGAACCCTGCTTTTAGAAGTTCCTGCACTGTTTTCTCAATTTCATCTTTCTGAGCAGGGCCATAATGGTAAGGCCTAATGCTTGGAGGCTTAGACCCTTGAAGAAGCGGGATTTTGTGATCATGTGCTCTATGTGGAGGCAACTGTGAAGGAATCTGAAACACTGCATCAAATCTCATTAAGACTACCTGTAACTCTTCCCTTTGTTGAGCACTGAGGGTGCTAGTATCATTTGGTGTATACTCCAATGAATACAATAAAACTCCCAAGTTAGAATCATAAATTTCCTTGTTGAGCTGCTGCAATGACATTTCCTGGACAGCCAGCTGTGGTGGTGTACTATGGGACAGTTTGAACTTGTTTTGGCCTACTTGAAACTCCATTGTGAGTAATTGAAAATCCCAGAGTACGGGACTCACAGTAGACAACCATTGCACTCCCAACACCAAGTCACACCCTCCCAAAGGCAATGCAAACAAATCAGTGTGACAGTGGTATCCTCCCAATTCCAACGGAATGTGTCTACAACAACCCTGACTTTTGATTTTGCCGCCATCTGCTATCATTACTTCAAATGGTTTGGTTGTTTGTAAAGACCACCCCATTTTCTTAGTGAACCGAGAATCAATAAAATTGTGGGTACTACCCGAGTCGAGGAGGATTCGCACGGGTTGGCCCTTAACACTACCCAAAACCTTCATTGTTTGTAGGAAGCGCTTAGCATTCATGCCATAAAATGCACATTCACTTAGTGCCATTCCTTGCAACTTAGCTTGCACACCCTCGTCATTCTCCTCACACAATTCTCCATCATCACACACATCTAACAAAAGCAATTGTTTATGCGTGCATTTATGTCCCATGACCCATTTCTCAGGGCAAAACCAACATTCCCCCTGGTCTTTCTTTCGTTGTACTTCCTCAGGAGTGAGCTTACGATATGGTAAATTGGTAGTTTTAGGTCGGGGTGGCATGATGGGAAGTGGAGTGACCTTAGTTGCAGATAGAGTTCTAGGATTGTGGAAACGCAGTGCAGAAAGTTTAGCATCAACCTAAACAGCAATAAAGATTGCATCATGAACGGACGTAGGCCTCAATAATTTGACATCATAAACCAATTCCCTTTTTAAACCCCCAAGGAAACAACTCTTGAGGAGGGCATGACCAACACCGGAAGCACGATTAGCAAGCCTACGAAATTCAGTCACATATTCCTTCAGAGTACCTGTTTGGCGCAACTTAAATAATGACTCAGTACAATCCTCGAACTCAGAGGGTCCAAACTCCCTACATAGTGCACTGGTAAATTCCTCCCAAGTAGGAGTAGTGAATAAGCAATTGCGCCATTTGAACCACTGCATCGCCTCATTTTCCAAGTAGAAGGAGGCTGTAAGGACCTTCTGTGGATCTGGAGTGTTGTAACAAGCAAAATATTGCTCAGCCTTGTAGATCCAAGTGATAGGATCATCGCCATCGGAAAAGCGGGGAAAATCCACCCGTTGCTGCCACTGAAGTTTAGGCGGCCCTCCCCCGGGCTCAAATTGCTCACGACGAGGGTGTCGAGGAGTCTCCAAAAGACGGAGATCAGCATCATCCGTGACGGGAACTGGCGGGGGAACAGGATCGACGGCGAATGGAGCTGGATGGGAAGATCCGGCACCACCGACAAAGGACTGCTCACGTCGGAGTTGCTCGAAGGAGGAAGCTAACTTAGCATCGAAGTCAGCAGAGAGCGCGGCCGAGAGGTCGGCGTTCGCAGCGGCGATGGAATTGCGAAGAAGGTTGGGGAGATCCGCCAAGGTAGCTTCAACGGCAGTAAGACGTGCATCCATGGTTGTTAAACGAGTCGTCGGAGCGTGACGGGGCATACAATAGGGAATCGAGGATTGAGCAGGATGATACCAATTGTTATGAACCCAACTCAGAACCTTAACTCAGACCTGCAAGTATATAACAATGGAGGATGGAGGAATACAGAGAAGAGCTAGAAAGAGAGAAGAGTATTTTTTTTTTATATATATTTCTTTTTGAATATTCGTTCTGCCCTTTCCTTTCACAAGTGGCTACATATATGGTTCCCCAAAACTCTCAAAGCCAGCTGGCATGACTAATTATAAAACAACTTCTTATTTAATTGCTAAACTATGATTAAGATAATCACAATTATAACATATATTCACAATTAATCTCTCTGCAACAACTACTTCCTGGATCTGAAAACTAGAGGTTATGGATATTGCTTCTTCTTCTTCTTCTTCTTCATCCGCTGCTGATACAAAAAAGTAAATGTTTTGGATATTATTTTGAAGGTGGAGAAAATAAACAAGCCCTTGTCAAATTGGTAACTTGTCAGAGGTTAGTTGGTGTTTATTGATACTGTTTAAGGCTCTTACTGTATTTTTTTTGTCATTTATTTTTAATTAATAAGTTTTGGTGTTATGTTGTGATGGCATTTAAATTGCTAATTAATTTTTGTTATGTATGCTGTTAATTTCTTGGCTAGTGACTGGATGTCGCTTTGTTTTGTTTGCATCTTTATCAATTGTCTTCCTTTTGACGTTTGGATTCAACGGTTCTCTTTACAGATGTTCTGAAAAACTTAATTACGAAAGATTGAAGGAGAAAGAGCAAATGGAAATAGAAAAGAAGGAAGAGAACAAAAGAAAGAGGTCTCAAGTTTATTTTTTGCGTCCTTTTTTGGTAATCTGATTAACTGTACGAAACATAACCAAAACATCACTTACAGGAATCGATCTGGAGACGATGATGATACCGATTGTGAGGGGAGCAAAGCAAGGAGAAAAGGTTTGCATTTATATCATTTTATGGTTTTCAAATACTAGTAGTTTTACATGCTGAGATGACGCTGTTCATATTAAGATTGCAAATATATGAATATCTTTCTTTGAAGTATATTTTTTAAAGAAAATATGTGCCTATGCCCCATTTTCTACTTTCGTTCATCTCTCACCCATTGAAACTTTGTGCATCTACTCAAAAGCCAATTCTAAGTAAATTCTCCTTTATTCCTGCAACGTCATAAAATTATCTCTCTTTAATTAACAATTAATCTCTCTGCAACTCCATCTTCTTGCTGGATCTGAAAACTAGATGTTGTGGATATCGCTTCTTCTTCTTCATCCACTGCTGCTCCTGCTGATGCTGATGATACAAACAAGTACGATGTGTTTATTAGTTTCAGAGGTGAGGACACCCGCCGTACTTTCACCAGCCACCTCCACGCTGCCTTACGTGAGAAAAAAATCACGACCTTTATTGATAACGAGCTTAAGAGAGGAGATAAAATCGAGCCTGCCCTTCTCAAAGCAATCAAGGAATCAGAGATTTCGGTGATCATTTTATCGAAAGACTACGCTTCTTCCACGTGGTGTTTGGATGAGCTTGTGCATATCCTAGAATGCGAGCGAAAACATGGCCAGTTGGTTATACCCATTTTTTACGAGACCCTTCCATCGCATGTACGAAAACAACGGAGGAGTTATAAGGTTGCATTTGCTCAACTTGAACAACGTTTCCAGAACAGCATCGACAAGGTGCACAAGTGGAGGGATGCTTTGAAGAATGTATTGTTTCAAAACATTATGGGTAACTAACCAATTCTTTTAACTTGTATAAAATTATAAATTTTCTTTAAACTTGTGATGATTTTATTGTGCTAAGATTTTGTAAGGTATAAATATTTAAGACTAACTATTACTTTCCTACATATATATGCCAGGACGGATGCTGATTTAGTTAAGAAAGTTGTTGAAGATATTTGGACCAAATTGTGTCGCGCATCATCCTGCAATTTAAAGGGCTTGTTTGGAATTGAAAGCCGCATCGAGCAGGTCGAATCGCTATTAGGCATTCATTCATCGGATGCTTGCATCACTGTCGGTATTTGGGGCATGGGTGGTATTGGCAAGACCACCCTTGCTGAAACTATATTTCACAAACTCTCTTCTAAATTTGAAGCTTCTTGTTTTGTTAAGAATGTTAGGGAGAACTCAGAAAAAGCAGATGGACTAGATCACTTGGAAAAAACACTTCTTAAGGAGATATTAAAGGAAGAAGGTCTATCCATAGGAGCACCTGGTGTTCGAAAAAGGCTCAGCCGCACAAAGGTTCTCATTGTTCTTGATGATGTGAGTAGTTCAATGCAAATGGAACGTTTAGCTGGCGATCGTCTTCAGTATGGCACTGGAAGTAGAATCATTATCACAACTAGAGATAGGGGCATATTTGGGAAAACTGTTGAAGAGGATAATATCTACAAGGTTGAGGAATTAAAACAGGATGACGCTCTTCAGCTCTTCTATTCGCGTGCTTTCAAGGATAACAGTACTCGTAGGACAGATTATAAGGAGTTGGCAGAAAAGGTCGTGCATTATGCCAGAGGCTTTCCTTTAGCTCTTACAGTTCTGGGGTCCTTGTTCTTCAATTGCAAGAGCAAAGAAGAATGGGAAGATGAATTCAACAAATTGAAACGATTTCCCAGTGAAGATGTCCAGAAAGTGTTGAGAATAAGTTATGATAAATTGGGAGACAATGAGAAGGAGATATTTCTGGATATAGCATGTTTTCATAAAGGGAAGTCTCCGGTTGAGGTAAAACGAATGTTAGATGTTCGTGGATTCTTTGCGACATCTGGAATTAGAATTCTCATTGAGATGTCTCTCATATCAATTGATTCAAAACGGGGAATGGAAACCATAGAGATGCACGATTTGCTACAAGAAATGGGAAGGAAAATTGTTCAAGAACAAGGTATTAAAGATCCTGGTAAACGGAGTAGGTTGTTCAATGATGAGGATGTCTATCGTGTATTGAGGAGTAACAAGGTAAGAGCCAAATGCATTCAATTTTTTTCCTTTCTTTTTTTTAGAAAATAAAAATTACAAACTTGAGATGATAACACAACAAAGTAAAACTAATTTATAATAAAGAAGTGAGATTGTTAAAAGATGAATTTGATTGAATATTTATTGTGTTAGGAAGTGTTTGGAATATGAACAAACATTTGTTTATTTAGACAAGTAGAGGAGGATACAATTATGTTGGATATTTGACTAGACTAAGACACTTGTACATGATTACCATCGCAAATACTCTTTATTCCAAATGTGCGTTACATTTTAACATGTTGAAAACATATATATTAACATTTAAACTTTCTTTTTATTCTCAGGAAACTCCAAATGTTGAAGCCTTAGAGTCATTTAATCTTCAAGGGCGATCATTGAAACATGTTGGCTTCAAAAAGATGTCTAACCTAATAATGCTAATTTTGGGTGGTGGCTTCTTATTCACCGGTTATCTAGACCTTTCCAATTCTCTAGACCTTCCCAATTCTCTTCGTTATCTTAAATGGAAAGGATATCCACTAGAATCTTTGCCATCAAATTTTACTCCGGAAAATCTAGTTGAGCTTCATATGCCACATAGCAAAGTTAAGAAGCTTTGGAAAGAAGAACAGGTATATTATGTTATATGCCTACTTTAATTCTTGTATAATATCAAGTGTAGAAATTATATTAATTCTTTATATTTCTATTTAATTTGTTGCAGATACTTGTCAACTTACAAGTTATCGATCTGTCTTCCTCTAGTAATCTAATTGAAGTTCCAAATCTCTCTGGGAGTCTAAAAATTGTGAAGATAAATCTCAGTTGGTGTAGAAGTTTGGTTGAAATTCCTTCGTATTTTCAACATCTTGACAAGCTTACTCATCTTCATCTTGGAGGCTGCAGGCTCAAGTATCTTCCAGAGATGCCAGGAAATATTCAATACTTAAATTTAGAAGGGAATGGTATAGAGGAGTTGCCTGACTCAGTTTGGTCTAACGAAAATATTTCTTACTTGAATTTAGATTACTGCCACCTTAAGAAACTTCCAAGCAGCAGGTGTAAGTTGAAAAATCTCAAGAAACTCTATCTTGGTTTCTCGTATAAAGTTGAAAACCTCCCAAAGATTTGGGAGCCAATGGAACAGTTGAAGTCCTTACATTTAAATGGAATAGCAGTTACAGAGCTACCCTCATCAATCTGTAAGTTGAAATATCTTGAGAGTCTTGATCTCCAGTGCCATAAATTTTCCAAATTCCCCGAAATCTTGAAGCCAATGGAACATTTGGTGTCTCTTAGTTTGGAAGATACAGCTGTCGAAATGCTTCCATCGTCTATTGGAAATCTAATTAGGCTTCAAGATTTAAAACTTAGCTGCTGCAAGCGACTTAAGGATGTCCCAACAAGTATCTACAGTTTAACCAATCTTAAACGTCTCGACTTTTGTGGCTGTTGGAGACTTGAAAAATTGCCTTCCAGCTCTGTTGGTTTTCTCTCTTTAGAAGAACTAGTACTCAGCTGCAGTGGTATATTGGAAATACCAGCAAGCATCAAACAAGCTTCTCGGTTGTCTATACTCGACTTAAACTACTGCGAGCGGCTTCAATCTATACCAGAGCTCCCAGTGCTATGTAATGTTAGAGCTGAAGGCTGCATGTCGCTGAAGATTGTGTCAAGTTCAAGGACAGCACTCACACAAGGTTGGGATAAACCTCATTATTGTATCAGAGATTTTACTAATTGCCCAAAATTGGATAATAATTCAAGGAGCAACATAATGGATGATGCACAGATTACAATTATGCGAATGGCAAGGAAGGATCCGTGGCCTCAGATTAAGATTGTATGTCCAGGAAAAGAAATTCCAAATTGGTTCAGCTATCAAAATGAGGGATCTTCAGTAGACATCGTGCTTTGTCCAGATTGGTTTCGAACAGGTTTATTTGGTTTCGCTCTCTCTGTTGTTATTAACAACGAGTGGGACTGTGAAGACTGCAGTGTAAGTGCTAATTTCATTGTCAAATTCATGGGTGAAAGCCATGAACTGTTCAGTTCTAAGTACATTATCCTACGCTCCTATGGCCGCCTACATCACGTGCGTGTGTGGAATGAGGCCTTTAGAAGTGAAGAGGTAGGAAAAAACTGCTCCCCTGATGTTTACAAACTTGCCAAAGAGGCCTCTGTTGTCTTCTGCCTGGTGGATGTTGAAGGACGACCTCCTCTCCCGCATTACGATATGAAGGTGGAAAGCTGTGGTATATGCCCATTGTATGCCGAAGATGCTGAGAAATTCAAATTGTTTGCCGAAGAAACAAGACAAGATGATGATTCCAAAGGTGGTGGATCAAGTGATGAGTCTGAAGCAAATGAAAGTGATTAGGAAAAACTTTTTAAGCCAAATTTGTACTTTGATAGCTCACTTGTCTGACCAAGAAATAAGACAACAACTAGGCAAGGACTTATTATTTTGGTATTGTTTATGCTTTATACATTATAAAGCGCTAGTTATGGAAGTGTATAATAGCCTATTTGTTTATCTTTAAAACTTGATTTACCTTTATATCGTAAACATAGACATTAATTAACACACCATGCCAGGGCAAAGTAAAAATCTCACAACCAAGCGCGATGGTTTGAACATTCAACACGACAAAAATATGCGATTGTTCAATGGCTGAACTGCAATGAGCCAAAAATATGAATGTCCCGATTGGACTAACACCGGAAAAACTCAGTGTTCTTGTTTGCACCAAACAAAGATCAGGGAAACAAATTTTGTTAGAGAGGGTAGAAAAATTACAGCAAATTAAGGCTGAAAAAAGAAAGGCACAGACCCAGTTTAATAATACAATCACCGAATTTGTAACAACGATAAAACTATAGGGCTCTTTGCTTCAATAGGACTAGGAACATTCCAAAATTAAGGGAGAAAATTATACATCGCGCTACAAGCTAAAGGAAGAAAATAATGAAGAAAAAGCGAGATGCATACACAAAGAAATGAAATACAAAAGATACATTACAAATTCGATGGCTGAACTGCATTTTGACCCGGAAATATTCAATTTTCTCTCTAGCATCCAAATTTCTTTCTTCAAGTCTCTGGGATATTTGTTATGATTCGACACTTATCAGGAAGTAACATGCACACATAACTTTGCTGCTCAAGATGAGAAAATTGGGGAAACATTAAAGTTCTAAGTACCTTTTTTATCAGCTTCGGTTGCTTCTTTGAACTTTAAGTTCAGTGAGTTAACCTCCTCTGTACTCAGTTGCTTTAAAAGATGTTTCTCCAATTCTGGTACTCTGGGTTTCCACTAATTGGCCTGCTGCTTTTCCTCAGCATGAGAAGGAGCAACTGTCTTCGGTGGCCTCCCTCCAGCTGGGGGTGCCATGTGCCGAGCACCAGGACCAGGCATCAGTTGCTGTTGTTGAAAGCCTTTTAAAGTGAAAAATAAGAAACTATTCTACATCAAAGGAAGACATGTTTCAAAAAATAAGTGATTTGTTTATGGATGAATACCAGAAGCAGGTCTCCAGGCTACATTGCCAGCATTGGAGTAATTATTTGCAGGTTGAAAAATATTGGATAAATACCTAAGAGTGTTTAGTCTAATGGTCAGGTCCTTGGTTTGTTACCAAGTGGTCTGGGGTTCGACACCTCTCAAGGTACCCACCTAGCAATTGCTAGAGTTTCTTGCTTACCAAATGTTGTGGGGTCAGGCGGGTGGCCTAGTGAGTAGTCGGGTCAAAAACCCGGAGACACTAGATTCAAAAAAAAAATAAATAAATAAAAAATATTTTTTAAATCAAGCATAACATTGCTTGGTAGCACTGCTGGAAGAGGGCGTCCCTCCCTAAACCGCTCCATCAAAGATAATGTGGCATGATGGGTAGTCATTCTATCAATCTAGACTGCACATTTAGACATGACTCAATTTAATAGTATATATTTATGGATGTTCGTATGTCAATTGGCCAGAAAAAGATTACTCCCAATCACAAATTAAAATTTATATCTACAAAATATCTATGGCATATGTAAGTTTTTACATCAAAATACGAACACATCATGCAATGAATGAGCATCCAGCAGCAAAGCATCTTGCAGAAAAATATGCTTGATTCATATAATCAATATTTAACATAATACGCCCCTGGTTATCATTTTATACGAAAATTCCTTCAGCAAAACAAGTATACAGCTTCAAGAACCTATTTATCGATATGATCCTGACCCAAGAACATTTCCCCTGTATGCGCCAATCCTAACTACTCCATAGTCATCTTATTCTGCAGGTTTTCACTACTGCACAATTCTAATGTAATAAACAGTCCTCGATCAATCCTTGGGACATATAACACATTTCTAAAGTCTGCTTACCACCTCTGGTCGAACGGATACATCAGTTCCGCATTTATACTAACACTAGATAAATTCTTCATCTACTTATTTTCTACTAAATAAAAATCTCAGCTTAGATCAGAGAATTAAGACATCCCAAGTTCACATTACTACAATTAGACTACAAATTCAAAATCAATCTGATTCGAAACACAAATATAATCATACACACACATCCAATTATACATATATACTCAAGCATATACATACATATATATATATAGAGAGAGAGAGAGAGAACCTGCGCAAAGGACCTGTTTGGGTGACCAGAGCCCTGGAAGAAAGCGACGGCTTCATTGCCACTAATCCGGCCATCGCGGTCCAAATCGGCCCGTCGGAAATACGCATCGAAGAGATCCACATGCGCCGATTGGTTCTGCGTCGACGCCATCGCCACCGTCCGATTGCGATTCGCGGAAGATCAGACCATGGAATCAATCGAGAGCGCCTCGCGCTCAGGCTGCAGTACGCATATGTTAGAACCCAAATCTCAAACCCTAACTCACGCATATGTTAGAACCCAAATCTCAAACCCTAACTCAAACCTTTACTATTGCACATAGAAGTGAAGGAAGGAGGAAGATAGAAGGAGCAGAGCTCCAATATTTTTGTATTGATTTGTTTTGTAAAATTCTGTTCTCCTTTCAAACCAAAGAGCAGGTGCTCTTCCGCCACCTGGCATTTCTATCAAATTTAAAACCTCTCGATTACAACTAATTTGACTCTTAAAGCATAAACCTCAATTACAAATTAGGTTCGTAACAATAAGGAGCACCGGGAAGAATCAGAAAACCACGAAATCGAAGGACCAATATTTCGGAGGACCAGGATTTGGTTGCCTTTCTTCTCCGATTCGGAGGAAAATCAGAAGACGACAGAGACAATGAGAGATGCCGATGGTTTGAGTTAGAAAAACGATTGTCGTTAATCCATTTTTCGTTTCGATTTTTGTGACAAAAATGGTACTGTATTTGTTGTGATATTTCAAAATTGCCACTGGTCCTCATGAGCCCGGCCCATTAGGTACTACTACAACAAATACAATTTAGAAATCAGAGTTGGTTTGCAAGTTTATCTATTTATGTTTTCGATTTGTCAACTTAATGCGAGATTGAGAAGGTGCACATATAGAAAGGTGCAAATTAATGAGAGATTGAGAAGGAAGCTACAATTTAGAAATCAGAGTTATTTGTTTGTCGGATATTTGACATGTTAAATTGTGAGATTGTAAATCGTACATGTACATTTAGATATCGATCTCCGTCTAAAGAATAAACTTAATTGATAATCTATACACATCCATATAGATTAACTACTCTTATCATGGCCAACAAACAGCTCATGTCCACGACGGTGTTGTGTTCACATTTCGTTGGTTTCACGTCCTCTTTTTTTTTAAGGAGACGATCAATGATTAGCATTCTAAATATGATTATAAACCCTTCAAATAACTTCATTAGTTGGTACAATTAAGGCATTTTGATTGATCCCTTTTGTGATCACCTCATTTTCGCTATTTAATTAGTCCCTGAAACTTCTTGCATTACATGATGTGCATGGAAAGGTCTATTAAATAAAACATTGGGGATCTTTGAAGTAGCACTATGTTTCATATCAAAATCAAAGAACCGGCCTAATAATTGATGTAATTAGTAAACATTGACGCATAATGTAATGCATTCTTAATTGGAGCTACAACCTTGTCTAGTTTCTATTTTTTTTTTTGTAAGTGTATATGTTAGTTTGGCGTATGTCGTCGGCCACTCTAGATTGAAGTGGGCAACTCCGTTGTGGGAGCTATTGTAGCAAAAATGTCTCAATCACTGAGACAAATTTCTCGAATTTTATCAAGTACATGTCAATTTATGTTTCAGTATACCGAAAACACGATCTGATACATCAAGTGCAGTTTTCCAATCATGGACTATATTTAATAACTTACTATTAAAAGATAACTCTTGATTTGGTTAATATGAAAAGAAAAGGAACATAGCGTATATTATTTTATATTAGAGTAAACTGTTAGTTTACCCCTTGAACTTTCACCTGACTTTCGATTTTCCCCCTGAACTTTTCTATTGGAAAATTAAGGACTCAAACTAATTTTTTTAGCCAATTTGCCCCCTACCGTTAGTTTTTCATATATTCCATCCATATTTCCGTTAAGTGAGACCATATGCACAACATGTGAGGGTAGTTAAGTCATTTCACTCTTAAAAATGATTAAAAAACTGAAAATAAAAAAAAACAAAACTTTCCCTCTATTTTTTCCCGCTAATTCCTATCCTCGATTTTATTTTTCCCTCTCATTCCTATGCATGAGAAATGACATATGGTGTTATTGTCTACCATTTTTATTTTCTCTAACAAATTAATAATTTGACAAATGCTAATGGTGCTATTGTCTCCAAAGCAGTGCATTAATATAAGAAACCCTAGTCTTTTTTATGGACATGTTTCTTATATTAATGTACTGCTTTGGAGATAATAACACCATGAGCATTTGTCAAATTATTAATTTGTTAGAGAAAATAAAAATGGTAGTACATGCTAGAGAGAAATTTTTTATTATGTTGTAAACATTCCTAGTTTAAGTATGATTGTGTAAATCCTAGATAAGATTTGATTCTAGTTATCATTTCCTATTACAACTTGTATTACTTGGAGGAGAAGGAATATCTTCTCTCCCTTTACTACTATAAATAAAGGCACAATGTAGGAGGGATAACAACACACACATTCCCCTACAATTTTACAAACACACATCTCTCTCCTCTCTCTCTGCCGCCAGCCCTAGTCCTTCTGTCAGATAAAATAGACCACAACACGTTATCAGCACGCTCCTACCGCTGCGCTTAGGAATCTGACGTTGGAGATTTTTTTTTCTGCATCAAACCAGTTCATCCATATCATCACGCAATCAGGTTCTTTCCAAACAACGGCTTTTAACTCGATATTTTGCAAGCCCTGATAGCATGAACATTCACCATGATGCATGACCCAACTTTACGTTTTACGTATTTTAGATTCTACGTAAATTGTGTATGCTTCATAATCAAAATTGCTACAATTATGTGAATTTGATATTTGTCATGAATTGAATCCTACATATGTACATGCATTGAAACTATTATTTGCATATGCATCAACGTAAATATGTGATTCATTAAAATTATACATGTAATATATTTGAATTGAAAATTTTTGCGATTGGGGAAATTAGGGTTCTAGTCGAACCCGTGCCTGTGCACCATGCAAGGCCGCAAGCCACCAGGCCCGCAGCCTGCGATGGCCCAGCTCGGTTTCCTCACCAGGCCTGCAGCCTGCATCGATCCTCCGAGCCCAAGATCACGGCTGGAGCTTCTGCTCCTCGTCCAAACCCCAAACCCGACACCCAGCCGGTGTCGCCACCCATCCATCACCGTGCTACACGGCCTGTCGCCGTGCCTAGCCTACTCAGACGACCTGCAGATCGTCCACGGTGTCCTATGGTCTGAGATTTTCTGAGATCTCATCGGAATTTTTCATAAATCCGATTGAAATTTTCTAGGGTTTGGTTGATATAACGTCGAGATTTCTCCAATCTCCGTTCATATTTGGTTCCCCAGTTGGACCCCCGTGTTTCCCACGATCGATAGCCTCCCAGAACACGGCCACCTGCAGTGGCGACGCTCCGGCAACCGTTCCCAGCAAAAGCTGGGGTGTTCCTGGTTCCAACCCGAGCCCTATTGGGCTCCAGCCTATCGGCCCGTGTAACAAAAGAAAAAAAAACAATTTTTTTTGCTGGGCTCGCTTGCAGCGGCCCAGCCCACAAAGAAAACAATTTATTTTTTTATTTTCCTGGGCTCGCCTGCAGTAGCCCATACCGAAAAAAGGAGAAATTGTTTTAGGGCTGCACACGGCAGCCCATTCCTTTCTCACCCCGTGGGCCTGCAGCCTACACCCGGGGGTACTCGGCCTATATTTTTAGGCCCCGAGATTTTATTATTTAATTTTTTTTTTAAATAATATGGGTTTTTATATTTTCACCCACACTTTAATTTGGCCCCGAAGACCAAAAATAAATTACTTCACTTATAATTATACAATATTTCTGCATATATTCTTTGCATATTTGTTTGCATGTATATTTGTGTTTGCCTGCAGGAATATATGAACCTGAAGTTCATAATTACTTTGAAACCCGAAGTTTCTTATACACATGCCTTGTTAGAAAACCCGAAGTTTTCACTTAAACATATCACCCATGAAAACCCGAAGTTTTTCATGCAAAATTAAACCAATACATGTCTATTAGAACCTGTATGTTCTACTCCTATGTGAATGGATTGATTTTTCTCCATTACACTAACCACATCTTGTCCATCTATTTTGTGATAGGAACATGTCGAACTTGAACAAACTCGACTTCACCGCTTTGGAGGTTTCTGGAAGGAACTACCTCAAGTGGGTTCAAGATGTGAAGCTCCACCTCACTGCAAAGAACTTGCGTCCTGCTATTGAAGAAGCAACAGATAAACCTGTTGGCGAGGCTGAAAAAGCCACTGCTATGATCTTCATCCGAAGACATATCCATGACGCTCTACAAACTGAGTACCTTGCTGAGGAGGATCCACGTGCATTATGGGTCGCTTTGGCTGATCGTTTCGATCACCAAAAGGACATATTCTTGCCTGAAGCAAGACACGACTGGCAGCACTTGCGCTTCCAAGACTTTAAGTCTGTGAATGAATATAATTATGAAGTTTGTCGAATCTGATCACTTCTTAAGTTTTGCAATGAAACTTTGACTGAAGAGGATCTCATGGAGAATACCTACTCGACCTTCTCTGCTTCTAATATTGTCCTGCAGCAACAATATAGAGCTCAGAAGTTCACTAAGTTCTCGGATTTGATCTCTGTTTTACTTCTTGCTGAAAAGCAGAACCAGCTGTTGATGAAGAATCATCAAGCTCGACCTACTGGGGCTACTGCTGTGCCTGAAGCACATTATAGCACTAATCAGCACCTAAAACGCCAAAAGAGGCGTGGTAAGGGCGGCCAGAAGCCATCCCACCAAGGTCAACAGAGCCAAGGCCCATCCAAGGGAGGAAACAAAGCCCATAAGCGCCCAAACCTCGCTCCCAAGGCCCCGAACTTCAAGAATAAGGGCAAAGCACCTGCCACAATGAATGACGATATGTGTTATCGTTGTGGTTCCAAGGACCATTGGTCCCGTATTTGCCGTGCTCCCAAGAAGGTTGTGGATGCATATCATTCTCGTCGTACGAAGTTTGAATCAAACTTCCTGCAAGTGGACGAACCGGAGACTACAAAGATGGAGGTTTCTGATTTTCAGGAGGATACCACTCCTATGGAAGATTAGAATCTTAGACATAGACTTATTTTTCAGTTAAAATAAGACAATTGGGGCCGAATTCCACCTTGTGGCCGAACCTCACCTTGTTTTTTGGTTGATTTTGAACAATTTTCCTTTATGTTTTGGATTATTAGTTGGCGATTTATTTTGGATATTAAGTTTTTTCCTTGAATAAATGAAATTATTTTGAATTGATACTTGTTTTTATAAACTTTTATGCATGTGACCGATTCAAATTAATTTTTCATTCTAGGTATGACTAGTGGGAAAGTTAGTTGTCTGGCAGATAGTGCAACCACGCATACTGTTTTGCGTGAACGCATCTATTTCACTAACTTCGTACCTAAAAATGCACCTCTGACAACCCTCTCAG